GCTTGGGATATGCTGGACTTAGCAAAGATCATTTTTAAAAGGTAAAACTCTTGTTGCTTCTTAGGATGGGAATTTGGTTGAAAATAAATAGAAAGCCATTAGGGTTAGACAAGTATTATTAAGATTTCTAATCAGTTTCCTTCTTTTAGGCAAGAAACAAAAGAAGCCCAGCTTTATGCTGCACAGGCACATCTTAAACTTGGAGAAGTTAGTGTTGAATCTGGTAATGCATTTTCATTTTACTTTCTAATGTCCCGCACTCTCCCATTCCTCCTTTAATAGATTCTCTGTAATTCAGCTTGATTGATTATAGTTAGGTAGTTGACATTGAAAATATAGTAGGTTTGAGTTTCCTATGATCCTAGAACAATGAACAATCTTTTTTTTTTTTTTAATTTTTAATATTTATTTCTCAGTTTTCGGCAGACACAACATCTTTGGTTGTATGTGGTGCTGAGGATCGAACCCAGGCCGCACGCGTGCCAGGCGAGCGCGCTACCGCTTGAGCCACATCCCCAGCCCAATGAACAATCTTTTAATTAATTAATAACTCTGATCTTTCAGTAGGATTTTGTTTTTTTGGTGTTGTGGATCAAAGCCAGGACCTCACAAATGTGTAGAGCACATGCTCTTCCACTGGGCTACAAGCCCAGCACCTGTCAGGTCTTTTAAAAAGCCATTCTGTCATTCTACATAGCCAAGGGTCCTGTAGATAATAACAAAAATGAAAGCAAAATGGGTATATTCCTGCAGAACAGGTCTGAATTCTGCAACTACTTCATACAAGTGCTGGCAATTCTTGTTCTTCTTTCTTAGAGAACTATATCCAAGCTGTGGAGGAGTTCCAGGCTTGCCTAAACCTGCAAGAGCATTATCTAGAAGCCCATGATCGTCTTCTTGCAGAAACTCACTACCAGCTTGGTTTGGCCTATGGATATAACTCTCAGTATGACGAGGCAGTGGCACAGTTCAACAAATCTATTGAAGTCATTGAGAAGAGAATGGGTGAGTAGAAGCTGCTACCAGCAATTGACCCTTCTCCAAAAAAAAATTCTTTTATGGTAATTTTTATGCGTCTTCTTTGTAGCTGTACTAAATGAACAGATGAAGGAGGCTGAAGGATCATCTACTGAATATGAGAAAGAAATTGAGGAGTTGAAGGAATTACTACCTGAAATTAGAGAGAAAATAGAAGATGCGAAAGAGTCCCAGCATAGTGGGAATGTAGCTGAATTGGCTCTGAAAGCTACACTGGTCCGTTCATTTTCTTTTTAAAGTTTTCATAATAGCATTTGTGGTACTGTTCCATTTGCTAGGAACTTGGTTTCTGGTAGTTGGTGGTCAGAGAGAATATGAGAATTCATCTACTTATTCCTGTCAAATAGTACAGTGGTTAGCAAATATTCTGGAGCTAGACTGCCTGGATTCATACTGTCTATTTTGGAATTCTGTCTGTGCAGTTTGTATGACCATAGGTATTTTTCTGCCATTGTTGATTTTTCTGTAAAATAGGGATCATAGTATCTATGTGTAAAGTACTCTTGATAGTACCACACAAATAGGAATTGCTTAGTAAATATAAGCTATTATTTCTATCTCTGAGATGACACGATATGGATAAATGATGCTTTTAATCCCAAATGTGTGAAAGATCTTGCCTACTAAATGGCCGTCATTAGGATTTCAAGTGTTATTAATCAGCTATTGTGATGGGTACCTGTTATAAAACTGAGTGACCTGGGTTCTCTCTGGGAACCTACTTGAATTTGTCATCTTTCTCACAGGTGGAGAGTTCTACTTCAGGTTTCACTTGTAGTGGAGGAGGTTCTTCAGTTTCCATGGTGGGTATTCATTCAGGTGTTTGTCACTTAATATTAGGCCTCACTTATTGTCTCAATAGTTTGTACATTGCTAACAAAGCCTTTTTTTTTTTTTTTTTTTTGGGGGGGTCAGATTGCCAGTAGAAAACCAACAGATGGTGCTTCCTCATCAAATTGTGTAACTGATATTTCCCACCTTGTCAGAAAGAAGGTAAATTTTCATGTGAATGTTTACCTCATTTAGAAAACTCCTATGGCCCAAGGACTATGAAGATCAGTCAGATTTTGGAAGCCAGTAGGTTTTCTTTGTCAGAAGTTGTTCATCAGAGACCTGATACATGAACTCCTGCTTGCCTTCTTCTGCTTGTTACTTCAACAGTTCTTTTCTCTGGGTGGGGAGTCTCTTTATTTCTTGCTTTGTTTCCTGGCTCATGTACTGGAATTTATACACATCTCTTGTTCTCTACTTGTATTGTGTGGTGCTAGTGCTAAGCAAGTGCTGTTCCACTGAGCTGTACCCAGCCCCAGATGTTCACATCTCTGCTCCTCATCCTAGTTACACTACTTTTCCTTTAGTCAGGAGGCTCAACGAATATGTTGGGACAGACCAGTTTTATTTTGCACAATACAAATTGGTATCTGCCCCTTGTGGCTAGGTGGAGAGACAGAGCCGTGAGTCCTACTGTACCACAGGGAAGTGTTTTGTAAGTTGTATTTTTAAAAACGTTAAGCACATTTGTGAAGTCTTCACAATTATATCTTTAGAGGAAACCAGAAGAAGAGAGCCCCCGGAAAGATGATGCAAAGAAAGCCAAACAGGAGCCAGAGGTGAATGGAGGCAGCGGGGATGCTGTCCCTGGTGGAAATGAAGTTTCCGAAAACATGGAGGAGGAGGAAGAGGTGGGCAGTTAAGCAGGGATTGGCCTCTTCCCTCATCTTTTCAAGGATTGGAGAAATCAGTACTCCTAAGTGCATGCTCCCACCTTGAGCCTTGCCAGCAAGATCATTTCTGCTTATCTTTTTCAAAATGCAGTGTATGATTATTGGTACAGATAACTGTGTAGAGAACAAAGAGTTGGAAGACCTGTGTTTATTTCCTCTTGCCTGAAACCTGTTTTTTGTATAAGATGGCTTTGTTTAAACCAGGTTACTGAAGCCCAGGCTCCCTGTTTGTTTTTCAGGCTGAGAATCGGGCAGAAAGCCGGGCAGCAGTGGAGGGGACATTGGAGGCTGGAGCTACAGTTGAAAGCACTGCATGTTGAGAGGGAACAGAACCTTCCTCCCAAGAGAGTGTTTTTGTATATAATGTATTTTTTCACTTTTGGGGATTCTTTTTGTATAACTTCAATAAAGATTGTAAGCAAAGGTTGAGGCTTTGATGGTTTTTTTCTTAAATATTGGCTGAATCCATGCCTTGGGGCACTCTAGGTTTTATATTATAGTGGCCAAAGGTACTTTTTCTCCCCACTTCTGTATTGATCTCTGTTGGAAGTTCTAATGCCAACTCCTGTCTGATGTGGAAGTGATAAATTAAGTGTGATTATAGGCCTTTCCTTTCCATCGGTGCTATATTTATCAAGTTACTTGACTGAACTCAGTTGTCTTGCAGACTTTGTGGTGCTGTCCCTGGATGGGGGCTACAAAAACAAGATTTGGTGAAGATCTTGCTGTTTGGTGCTGTAAATGGACTAACAGGCCTTTGGTGGTACCTGTCTTCAGTTTACCTCATCTCCATCTAGGGTTATATCCTATCCTGGAAAAAGAATTCTGAAGAAGACTTGGGGGAGAAAGTGATCCCTGTGGAACTATAGAGAGAAAAGGGGCTGTGACTGACATAATGGACAACATGTGGTTGGAAAAATGTGTGTTGGGGGGGGGGAAGGCTGGCTGGTTTTGATATTTACTGTATAGAAAGATTGAAAAACATCTAAACTTGGAATTGTTACACTGTCTGTAGTTTTGACTTCTCAAAATAAAGATGTGAATAAAAAGCTCCTGGTCTTGCATTGTGCTTAAAGATCTTTCAATGGGATCCTGAGCTGCCTGGAGCTTTTGAGCTTTTCAGTATGAGATATGGGGCTAAGAGCAAAAAAAATGGCTCAGCAATTTTTGGATCCCAATTTTGGATTCCAGGGATGATGATGGTCAAGACACAACAAAATGTAAGCCTGTTGTCCAGGGCACAGGGTTTGTGTGAGAAACAGCCAACAGCCCTTAGTTTAATAAGTTAGAATCTCCTGTTTTAACAACCCAGTATCAAATGCTGAGGGAGCTATATAGGACTCCCAAGTCAACCCCATTTTTTAAAGGTGGTTATTTTTTAAGTGTTGGGGATTGAATGCAAGGGTACTTAACCAGTCATATCCTAGGTGCTCCCCCCCACCCCTTAAAAATATTTTTGGTTGTAGATGGACACAAAACCTTTGTTATACCTTTGTTTTAAGTGGTGCTGGGGATTGAACCCAGGGCCTCACACATGCTAGGCAAGGGCTCTACCACTGAGCTACAACCCCAGCCCTCCTCAGCCCTTTTTTATTTTGTGACAGGGTCTTGCTAAATTGCTTAGGGCCCAGCTAAATTGCTGAGGTCAGCTTTGCACTTGCAATCCTCCTTCAGCCTCCTTCCTGAGCCACTGATTACAAGGGATTTTCTTAATACAAGAGAAAATGTCTCTCTGGGCTGGTTATTGACTCACATTTGCAGAATCTGGCTTATCTTGACTGAATTTCCTTCTTAGAGATGCTTTTGTGTTGTGTGTTCAGGTCTTGATGCTGGTCATTAACTCACGTTTGCAGAATCTGGCTTATCTTGACTGAATTTCCTTAGAGATGTTTTTATGTTTGTATGTTCAGGTCTTGAAGTCCCAATATGGAATTTTCTCAACTATAACATTATTGCCTTAGGGCCTTAATTTGGAATCTCTCTTTAAAGCCTCAGGAATTCTCTCTTTATTGAAAGGCTTCTAGGCAAAAGTCATTAGAAAGACATGCCTGGCTATGATCCCTACTATTTGGAAGGGAAGAGGATTGCAAGTTTGAGGCCGGCCCAGGCTATTTAGTGAAAAATCAAAGGGCTGGGGGTGTAGCTCAGTGGTAGAGTAACCTGGGTTCAAACCCCAATACTAAAAAAAAAAAAAAAAAAAAAATCCTGATGAATCTGACATGAAATTTAGCACTAAAGTTGGCTTTTACAAAAAGAAAGTGCCAGGTAATATTGTAAATACCTGACAGATTCATTTAATCCTCAGTAAATGGTTACAAAAGAAAACAGTTGGAGAAAGATCAACTACTTGCCAAAGGTGATACAGATGTGGTTAGAATTCACAAGCTCATTTGCTTCTAAACTATGGAGTAGTAAAAGCTACCGGTGTCTGGGAATAAGCCTCATGTTCCCTCTAGCTCCCCTGTTGGGGTCGGTCATAGCTCAAAATTTCATCTTTAGTCTTGACTCTGCCAAAGGACTCTTCTGTAGGAGGTGGGGGATCAGCAAAGCCAGCCTTGGGGCTGAGGGAACTTGTTTCCAGTGAAGATGATATGGATACCTGTGGAAAATAAGCAGGTTCTTCAACAATCTAAAAATAGGTAAGGAACATAGGTTCTAGAGTTGAACTACCTTAGAATCAACTTACTGTGAATAAAAGGTAGTGTTAACTTGGTAAATTCTTGCTTTGATTTTGTTTACATTGCATTATCTAACAGATGATTGTGAGGATTAAGCACAGAAAGCAATTGGTAGTGACTGGCACATAGTATCAACAGTTGGCTATTAACCACCCACTTGTATTGCCTCTAGCTATAACTGGGCCCTCACCGGTGGGTACTGGTACTCATGGGCACTTGTTGGATTAATCTCTGCCAATGTCTGGACATCTGCATCTCTTGCATTCACCAGCCGCAGAAAGAGCTCAGTTTGACCTGCCTGGAGAGAGATGAAATGGTACTCTATCTGTACCTTGGAGTAGACCTTATCCCCACCCTCCACACTGACCTGGGGAATCCCATTCAGCTGCCCAAAGCTGAGGCTGGGGTCCACAGGAAGAGCCCGAAGTGGAAGGCGCCAACGGCCACTTAGCACACGCTGATCCCGGTCAAATAGCACCAGTGAGGCCCAAGCCTTTGGCTGTGGTGCCCTAGCCCATGCCAACCCCTGCCAGGCTTGTAGCTCACACACCAAAGATACTGACGGTGATGGCAGCAGCCTGAAGAACAATCAAAATGTCAGAGGCCAGAGTTGAAGTCCCTTCCTAAACACTTCCTAGGACTTAACCCTCAGAGCCAATGAATGGCCTTTATATAGATGAGAAAACTCAGGATGAGGGGCATACTCAATTGTGGCAAGAATACCAAAGTCACAAACCCCATTTAACTGACCTGGGCACAGGCTGCCTGCTGGCAAGGATGGCACAGTTTCCCATGGGCCCAGGAGCTGGAGGTGGGGGCAAGCAAAAGGCTGGGGGCAATGCTGTGGTCCCTCCTGTATCCTGTCCATCTCGGGCCAAGCCAGTCAGTAGTTGCACCCAAATCCAAGAAGCATCAAGGCCTCGCAGGAAGTCATAGAAAATGAACAAGCCAGCCCTAGGAGACACAAGTCAGAGTACATAAACATCAAACTCCTCTCACTCCCTCTCCTCCTCCTCCTCTCACCCTCCCTCTACCCAGTCTACTGGACAGCCCTAGGAGTTCTCCTTAACTTATTAGTGGACAAGTGAAAGGGGTTGTCCAAGGAGGGAGCAGGCCTCACCCAGGGTCGTATGGTGCAGGGCCCAGCACATCAGATGTGGGTAAAAGGAAGTGTGGGTCCAGACTCAGGTTCTTTGTCATGGTTCCAGGAAGTGGTGGCTGTGAGGAAGTGAGCTGACTTCTCCAGAAAGTCTGCAAGCTGCCCATGCTCCCCTGACCACATAGAGCCGAACCATCCCCCAACTCCCCCTCACCCCATCCTGGCATCCCTGGGTCCTCACAGCCTTTTCTGCACCACCCGAGAACTGGACGTTTGTGGAGCCTGGAAGTGGTGGCAGTGGGGGTGCCACTGGTGGAGGGAGGTGTGGGGGATTTCCCTTTCCCCATGGACTTGTGCAGGGACCAGCCAGGAGTTGTGCCTCCCTGGGCCCTAGGAACAGAGGAAGACTTAGGGTTCCCCTGCATCAGAGGAAGCAGGTAACTGTACTGAGAAGCCACAGAGACACACACACGGACACATGGAGATTGCATGGACACGAACTGAGGGGGGCACAAACTTGGGTTTCATTCCCCGGGAATCATCCTTCCACCCCTTCTCCTGAGTTAGGTTTGCTGGAATGAAGTTGGGGTGCTCACTGACCCCAAAACGTCTGGGCCCGGCATCTCTGCATCTGCAAGGCCAGGATATTCTCCTCTAGGCGCCGGTTTTCTGCTTCCAATACTAGAAGCTCCCCTGAGGCTGCACTTGCTTTATCTGCGAAGAACAAGTCTCACCTGTTACCTTTGATCCCTGGTGACCACGACGGTCCGGATCTGAGCAGGTCTCCAGTGTTTAGAGCTCTCCGGACAAGTCTTTTGACTTTCAGCTCACATTCTAGCCACTGTCACAAAGACCACCCAGGATTTCTACACCTCGGGGTTTTTGCTCAGGTGGCTCCTACGCCAATGACGTCTTCCGTCACGCCCTCTTCTCCTCCCAGGTCTAAGACCACCGCTGCGGAGAGGCCCTCCCGTTTGATCCCTCTTGTTCACCCCTGCGATTCTGCGACCGCCGCAGTTCCAGTGCTGACGCCTCCACTTGTAACTGCCATATCTTGCCCAGAACACCGGGGTCCCGGCCCCCGCCTCGCATGTAGGCCTCACGCAGGGCCCTAGGGAGCGGGGTGGGTACAGAAAGAAAGAAAGACAGTCTTCCCAGGATGATCAGCACTCCGTCCCTGGCCCGTCCCGCGCACCGGACCTCACCGGATCTCCGCAGCTAAGGTTCCTGGGTTGACCTGCAGCACGGGACAATTGAGCTCAGCATCCCGCCAGGCATTCAGCCGAGTCCTGGCGCGGAGAGACGACGTCACGCATCCAATAGGGCTTCCCGCCGCCCTGGCCCCGCCTCACGCTTCCAGACCGGCATGGGAGGGGGTCTCACCCGGTCTGGGGTTGAAGTTCTTGAAGGCGCGTTTCCAACATCTCTAGAGCTCCCCGTGTCTGTCCGGCCTCTGCCTGGAGTTCTCGAAGTTGCCGTTCTAGACCGAATAAGCGGGATATCCCTCCCCGCGGCCCACCTTGGAGGCGCCAGCTTAGTTCTGAGGGAGTAAGGGACAGAGTCGGAACGCGTCCGAACCCCGCGGGCAAGGGGCGGAGCAAGTCCCTACCCCCGTCTCTCCCTCACCGTTGCCGCGTCGCTCCAGTGCCCGGCTCTGCGCTTCTGTCTCTGCCACGCGCCGGGCGCGGGTCCTGTACAGCGCCTGCAGTCTCTCGTTAGGGCTCCCTGCAACCTCGGAGGTGGGGCCTTCTGTCATCCAGGGTCCCATTTTCTGTAAGGACAGCCGCAGCCACTGCACCTGGAGTTAACAGATCACCACGATCTTTGTTGGGATAATCTGCTCCATGTATGATCTGAAGCTACGAAAGAAGGGGTGGCCGCTTCAAGTTTATAGCCCTGGGGAAAGCTGGGTGGGTGTTACCTCCTCTGTTAACCTTTTTAGAGCAGATGTGCTGGCCTCCTGGTCCAAGCGGCCCTGGAGTTCTCCCGACACAACCTGGGAACAGAATGTAAAATGAGGAATCTTGATCTTCCGGCTCTCTGGAATATCCACCAGCCCCCTCCTTACCACGGTACCCCTTGATTCCGTAGCTACTGAGGGCTGTGCTCTATTTGTCCCTTCCCGGGTCAGGCGGCCAATGCAAAAGCGCTGAGTGTGGATGGCCAACAGGGCCCCGGAGCGGAAAACCATGTCACAGGACCCACAGGGCAAGAGCTCTGGCTCCCCAGAATTGGAGCCCATGTTAAAGGAAACTGCCTCCTGACACCAGCCTAGTCCTGCAGAAGGGGCAGAAGGAAAAGCTCAGGTCTAGATCTTTCACAGGTTTGTTTGGGGAGGAGCTTTAGTTCCCTGGGCAGCAATTACAGGCCTGGGCAGGTTAGGAGAATGGGTGGGGTAACCTAACCACCTTTGAGAAGCTCTAGGCTTGAAAAAGTGTCAGTCTGTTACAACTAGATACCTTCTAGACTAACCATGACTTGGTCATCCTTGGTCATTTCATAGCCTCAGACATGCAAGTGTTTTTTTTTTTTTTTTTTTTTTTTTTTTTGGTACCGGGGATTGAACTCGGGGGCACTCGACCACTGAACCACATCCCCAGCCCTATCTTGTATTTTATTTATTTTTATTTAGAGACAGGGTTCTCACTGAGTTGCTTAGCGCCTCGCTTTTGCTGAGGCTGGCTTTGAATTGAGGACCCCCGCGACCCAGCGTCTCAGCCTCCCGAGCTGCTAGGATTACACCGCGCCAGGCACAAGTGTATCTTTTTAACGACTGCACTCCAATGTGGATATAATAGAAGTTAATTGCTATTCGTCAGTTCAGGGAACACCTGGGAGAGGTGGTGTTCTGTCAGGAAACCATCTTTTCCCTGAACTGAAAAGCTCTTCCTAGTCAAATGCCTTTCTGGAAGTAACTACAACTTTTGCACAACCAAATCACACCAGAGGCAGCACTCTGCCCCGCCCCCAACTCCCATCCTCAGATTCCCCTTCCACCCCCAGTTGTAGAGGGGAATATCAGCACAGTCCATGCATTGAAAACTGCCAGAGAATGTAATAAATCAGATGAGAGAATCAAGTCCGGAAAGGAATTCCTTCACTCAAATGCTAAACAGGTTCTTTTCTGCTGGTCATATTATCCTCCACAACCCGATCCTCCCCACCCCCACATTTCAAAGAAGCCCTTCTTTCTAAACAAGACAGGGACTTAAAGTATTTCCTCCCGCAGATTATGTTTCAAATATGTGATCTCAATTCAATTTTGGAGGGAGAATGGGAAATGGGGGGAAATTTAGATCTCTTTCAAGAAGTCTTCTAAGATCTCTCACAGTAGGGCTTTTCGAACTTTAATGTACAAGTAATTATCCAAGGTTTTTTCTTTTTCTTTTTTTTGGTACTAGGGTACCAAAGCCAAAATCTCAACCTTCTCTTCTCCAAGCATAGAATCTTTGCTACAATATATTTTTTTTAGTTCATTTTATATTACTTCATTGACTTTTTAATTAAAAATTTTTTTTCTAGTTGTAGATGGACAGAATATATTTTATATTTATGTGGTGCTTAGAATCAAACCCAGTGCCTCACACATGCTAGCAAGTGCTCTGCTCTGTCACTGAGCTACAGCCCCAGCCCTATTTCATTGATTTTAAGATGCACTTTTTTTTTTCATATTACAACAGTGATGTCAGGATTCACAATTATAGATGCTAGGACTGGCAGTGTGGCTCTGTGGCAGTGTGGTCCTAGCACATGCAAAGCCCTGGGTTTGATCCACAGTAACATACACACGCGCACTATCTTACATTCAATGGAACATGATAGCTAATAATTCTTATTGCTCTATTTCAACTGCCTTCACCATATTTTGCATATGGATAATTCTACTAGCAGTAGGCAGTGTATACTGATAGATTATACATCCTGCTGATCTCTCTGCATCTACCCTCTTGTCCTCTCTGGCCCAGAGCTCACTTTACAAGTTAATTATCTTTCTAACAGGCAATCAGGTGTGCTCTTGGTCCTCTGTATCTACTAGGGACAAAGTACTGTAGGTACAGCAACGAGTGCCAGATGATTATCCTTTTAACTTCTTTTTGTCTATCAAATATTGGCCTAAAATTTCATCTTTTCTAAAATAGCTGTTTATTCTCTTCCCTACAGGCCTAGGCACTCCTTGCAACCCTTGTCTTTCATAATGTCTGGGACATAAAACAGGGCTTGGAAAGTATCTGTTGAATGAAAAAACCAGCCAGCACTGGCTCAAGTCATTTCTGCCCCCCAAGTTCTTTAGCAGGAAAATCGAAGCAAGACCTTTCTTTAAAAAAGCCCAGTGGTAAATACATGGCACTGAAAATGAAACGGTTTCAGGGAGGAAAATCTGGTTTCTGACTTCATTAAACATGTGCATCAAAAAATATCTGCTAGGATATGTCACTTAGTGGTAGAGTGCTTGCTAATTTTAAAGAAAACATACTTCTTACACAAGACAATTTAAACTGATGCAAAATATTTATTCCAAGTTAGTTATTTTATGCAGTAGTTTTTCCCCTCAACAGACTTGTGATAACCACATCTTTTAAATCTGTAAATAATGTTATCAAAATAATCTTAATCTTTGAAATCTCACAAAAATTTATATTTTACAATCCACCCTGAATATCAAGGCTGCAAGAATAACACATTTCCTATATCCAAATATTTTACAGCTGTACCCAAAAAGGAAAAAAGAAAACAAAAACAAACAAACAAACAAAAAAAACCACATATGCTTTGTTAAGGGCTAAAGTTACCCGAGCAGCCAAAAATAAAATAAAATATCCAAATTATTAGCATTAATTTAATACAATTATAACTTCAATAGTCACTTTGTCATTGACAATGATTGCTTGAGCACAGGGGTGAGTGCCCCAAGGGCTGGTAGTAGAAGCTGTTGCTGCAGACCAGTGTCTCCTCCTCTCTGCATCTCTGCACTGCCAGCTCCCACCTGTGCATCGCCCCATATGTACTGTGTGTGTGTATTTAAAAAATCTTTCCCACCACACAAACTTCTATTAAGCAGATAATAGGGAAGAACAACAACAAAAGCTAAACAAGCCAACTGCTCTTTCTTTGGGATATGATTATTTCCCTTGTGCATGAAATATTCAACAACATAAGAAAAGGAAAAGAACAATTTCTTTTGTATATTCCCTAAACACACAAGCTGAGTTTACTGAGTCAGATTAACTGTGAGCATTTATATGCCTACTTCCAGGCATCGTCATCTGATGTTTCACTGCTACTGGTTTCTGTGTCTGAGTCCTCAAACTCTGCTTTACAAGTGCTTCTCCAAGGGGAGAATAGGCTGGAACCGCGGCTCTGTAAGAAGCCATTCTTTCTGAAGCCATTTCTTCTCAGCTGTGGTTAGCGTGGGAGAGAAAGGAAAAAAATAATCCATCAATGACCACATTGGCTTGTGGGACATAGGAAAAGGCCAGGCCTCAATTTGATATGAGGGAGAATGGGAGATGGGGGAAAACTTAGATCTTCTAAGATCTCTCACAGTAGGGCTGTTTAAACTTTAATGTACAAATAATTATCCAAGGTTGGCTTTTTTTTTTTGGGTACTGGAGTACTAGTGATTGAACCCAGGGGTGCTTTTACAACTGAGCTTCATCTTCATTTTTTAAGACATGGTCTAAGTTGATTAGGGTTTAGCTAAGTTGCTGAGGCTCGCCTTGAAATCATAATCCTGCTGCCTCAGTCTCCCGAGTAGCCAGGATTACAGGCGTGTGCCACCACGCCAAGGACCTGTGATTCATTTTGTCCGAGGTAGGATTTGAGATTTCCTATTTCTGAGTTCTGAGTGGTAAGGTCTTATGTCAGCCTGTATGTTTTCCTTCTGTGGGACTTATTCAGCTGTCATTTATATGCCACCAGAATGTAAACTCAAGGAGGTTTATAGAAACTTCATTTATCTTGTTCATTGTTGTAAACCTTAGGATCTGGCAGGGTTTTCTTTGTTCTTGTTTTTTGCAATGCTGGGGATCAAATGCAGGGTGTCACCTATATAAGGCAAGAGATCTACCAGTGAGCCAAATCCTTACCCTTTGGCAGAGTTTTATTCAGAGAAAGTGGTCAAGCATTTGTTGAATGAATTCATGTAAGCCTTTTGGTTTCTTAGTTCTCGCCAGAGCAGCAGAAGGAACTCAGGGCTGAATATAGAGAAAGTTCTGGCTTCTTCCTAAACATAGAGCTCAGACCTTTGGAACATAATCTTGGGGTTCTGATAAGGGGTTAGAGCTATGAGGATGAAAGAATGTTACCTTCTGGAATCTGCTAGTCACTAGCCTGTTGGTATACCTACCACTGGAGATCCTTTTTGTTCAGGCAGAGTTTGATGCTCCTTTATATTTCTACTAGGGTAATTACTTTATACTTTCTTTTTCAAGGTCTCTCTCTCTCACTTAGGGCTTCCTAAGGGAAAGTACTGTCCTGACTCCTTTCTTTCCTAGTGTTTAACTGGTCTCCAGGGAAGATTTATGACATACCTGCTCTGTCTTCATGTGGAACTCTTTTAGCTCATCCTCTGTAAGAGGAAGGCAATTCTCATCATTTTCAGGATATTCTTGCCATCCCATTGATTTCAATAACCTGGTGGAGGCAAAAAGACAAAGAAAATAGGACAACAGTAAGCCTAAGTGGGCAATCTATGGCTTTTCACAAGAAAATCAGGACATTTCCACATGTACCTAAGTTCTTTCAATTTCATGGCACTGTGGCCTCTCTCAGAACCTAATCCTATAATTCCCCTGGAATAGGAGATTTCTTTTAAGAAAGTACTCCCATACTTGGCAGGCTCCACAAGCTATCCAGTCTTGCCCAAGAAAGCTGGCTGCTTTATGTTCAAGGCCCTCATTTAAGCACCAGGGGTTTCAAGCATTCCAAGGCTCCTTTAAGGGGATTTTTATGGTAACAGTTCATTTGGGACGGCACCACAGTCCCAGGAAACAGATTCTCATTTCTTTCCTTTTCGGACTGGAGCCATAAACTGAGTCTGAAATTCAATGACAAGAAAACTTTGGAGAGGAGATTGCGAAAAACTTGGCCAAGTCTGTGAGAGAATGCTAAGTAGCCAACAGGCCAACCTATGTTAACACTGAACAAGTTACAATGTTCATGGTCTCTTCTCTCTGTATGCCCAATTCAGTTCTATCCAAGATGTCTTAAGAATGTTTAAGATCCTCACCAACAGGTCACACATAGCATTCTTTTTTTTTTTTTTTTAAAGAGAGAGAGAGAAATTTTTTTTAAATATATATATATATTTTTTTAGTTTTCGGCGGACACAACATCTTTATTTGTATGTGGTGCTGAGGATCAAACCCAGTGCTGCGCGCATGCCAGGCAAGCACACTACCGCTTGAGCCACATCCCCAGCCCAACATTCTTTATGATCTTGTCCTCTCTTACCTATGCTCTGCTT